CCGAGCACCGCCCCCACCCGCCTGCAGCCAGCCCTGGGAGAGGCCCCGCTCCAGCAGCGCTGACGTGCTAGATACTGCACACAGGGGTAAAAATTCTTTGTAGTGCAGTTTATTGTTAACGAGTATTTTTGGGAATTAATTTGCCGTGAGAACGTGAAGTGCCCTTTCCCACCACGCTGATCGAGCTGCCTCCCTTTGGTTATTTTTCCAAGGAATACGATGCAAACACGAGAGTAACATTTCTTCTAAATAGCCAAGATCAGTTACTTTAGAACGTCATCATCAATCTAAAAGGCACCTCTGGAAGAGTTCACAGCTTTTTATGATGAAAACTACTAATAAAAAACCCTTAAATGGACTATTCACATAAGAATAAATGCTCAACAGATTAAAGATAATACCTTGAAGAACAACGTAAACCATAATTCTATGCTGTTTTTTCCAAAGTAAGAGAAAAAAACCAACCCCAAAGTCAAGCCATAGTATTCGGTGCTTTTTTTAATACAGCAGTAAAGTTAGTCACCTGCAGCCATCGCTAATTCTGTCCTATCACTGACAACAACAAAGAAGGAAATCTGAGTATTCCATGGGAAAAAAAAAAAAATCTGAATTACTGAAGGTTTTTTTTCTTTCTATTTTTATCTTAATTCTGAGATCAATACAAACCGAGAATTCCTTGTAAGTCTGGCTCTTTGGCAATATAACCAGAAGCACAAAGGAACAGATTTTTCGCTCTGACACATATCCTACTTCTGCTTAGAAAGCTTTGTCAATATTTAACGAGTCACACCTCAAAATGTAAACATGGAATGACACTCTTACACTGCACACAGGAGGGGAGCCCACGTCTCCTCCGCCTGCATCGTGATGCTGAGGTATCATCGGGATGAATATGGTCTTTTACCAGTGCAGTCAGTCAAGAGTTTAGAACCCCCAAAAAACCTTTACCTTAAAAACATCTGCTTTTTATCTAAAAATTCACACCCTGCTTTTTTACCACATCCCTGGCCTCCCCCGAGGAGGTTACAGGTTCTGTTGCCTTCTCGAGCAGCTGTATTCTCCCCAGGCTGATGTAAAGCTGACTGACATCAGCTGGCTTTGGGTCAAGGCCTGAACTCGCAGATACTTCTGCATTACTTAACTGTCAGATTTTATTCTTTATTTGAAGCCCACCCCCTGCTCCTCTCTTTTGGGAAGGGCACCTGTTCCAATGCTGCACAGGGTAAGAGCGTTGCATGTATGGACCGAGAACTGCAGATGCTTTAACACTCTGAACGTCTGTACAAAATAAGAGCAAACAAGTCATGACCAGAAAGTCTCAGACACCAGTAAACATACAACAGAAATTCATACCCAATACTCCAGGTTTGAAAGATACTGCTAACGTTGTGCTTTTAGCTTTCCCCCCCCCTTAGTAATAAGCAGGAGTCCATTGACCTCAGAGTATCTGTGACAGCCATGAAAGATCGAGCTACCAAACTGTATCCCCAGTGCCCTGCAGAGCTGGAGGTGACCATGTTCTGGACCAGCCCCTGATGCAGCACTGAGACAGCAGGAGGAAGAGTTCTAGTTGGCGCTACACACTGGAGTGTCCGCAGAGCTGAGTAAGCTGCTCTCCTAGGCTGTGCCCTAATGAGGAGCAAAGAGCTAAGAATAACCCAAGAATCAGGCTATAATTAGCACAAAAAAACCACAGACAAAAGTCACCTGAACTTAGGTAAAACACTCTTGCACATTACCCTCCTCATTTTGGCTACTAAAAGTGCACTTTTCAAATAAGAAATTACTGTGCAGTGCAGTATTAAATAATTTAAACTGAAACTGAGAAAGCACTTTTTGAAAGTAAAGTAAAAAAACTTCTTGCTTTATATAGAAATCCATATATACCAAGCAACCCTTTCTGCCTAGCAAATCTCTGACTTCTGTGAGCAGGCACTGTGGCTTCCCTTGGGCTCGCTTACAGTTTCAGCTGCTGCTGAAGGTCATGAATTGATCCTGCACTGCTTTGCAGTTTCTCTTGCACTAGTGGATCTTCCTCTAGTTTGACCATTTCAATCACTCCGTTGGTTCCAAGAATACACGGTAGACTTAAGAATACTTCACTGTTTATATTGCAACATCCCTGAAACAACACACAAAGACAACCATCACACAGTTACTTATTTCTGCTCTGAAGCATGGAACTACACAAAATTGATTATTGATTATTTTACTTGATTATTTTGCTTAAGCAAGGATATTCCATCATATAGCATATTTTGTATAGGTCAAATTCCAGTTATTTTAGATCCTGTGCAATGGGTTACTGTATAGAAACTGTAAAATATTATTTTACAGATAAAAAGAATCTTGAACCATGCCACACTTGGAGGAGTTTCCCAATACAGATATATCAGACCTCTATAATGCAGGCAACGCTTATACTACAAAACACCGTTTAACCAGTTTCTTAGGTAGAACAAGCAGGGACACTTGATAGTACAGTATCATTAGTTCTTTTAGGACCGAACAGAAGAAATTAAAAAATGCAGCTAAAGAGAGCTATCCAGGGAATATTTTTCAAGTATTGATCCCATATTCATTTTGTGAAAGACTTTATTAAACTTATATCCCTATAATTCAAGTTGACATTGTAGATTTTGTTTATTTTTAGGATCTGTATGGGAAAATTTACATTATGTAGTTACTCTGCAGTTTAAGAGACTTGTCACTCCTCTATGTCTGCATTTAGTTCATAAACGAGCAAAAACTTTCCTTGAAAACATAATGATGAAATTAGGTGTATGTCTGTACTTGATACAATAAGCAGCCTGCTCAACCTCCCTGCACTGGGACATGCAAATCACCCTTCTGAAGCCTGTAAATACAAGCGACCAGTAAATGTTTCTACATGGCTTTTTTTCTCACATGAAATGACTTAATGCTTTAATGAAGCTTCTTAGGATAAACTTTAAACAAGGTTCAGTCTACAGTTTTAAGTTAAATATAGCTTCATAATCTTTTCCTCAATGTAAAGTATCAAGGAGTAAAAAAGCAACTGTTTCAAAGCTGGTCAAATAAAATAGTGCCAGAAAATGCATTTTATACTTTCATAAAAGATACTGAACTCTTTTGGCCCCTGGAAAAATCTACATTCAATACTGAGCACTTGGAAACCGCAACACACATTTCTCTTCATTTGCCAAATCCAGCTGTTCTGGGGGAGCTGGTCAGCAACCTTGAATGTATTTTTCCTCTGGACTCTTGTATTTTTGGGATAATAATGCACTTTTAATATTGGTTTCAGATTAACACAACAATTGATTTTTGCTCATTTTTGAATTGAATTTTTTTTTTTCAATTTTGAAATTGAAAGCTGTTGTTGGAAGAAAGTAACGAAGGTAGTGCTACTTCAGAACCGTTACTTCAAGTGAGATATCTGTGCTGCTAAAATTAACGGTCATATCCAGTATAAATAATATAATTACAGTGCCAACCAAAAGATATTAATAACACATTTACCTTTGCCAGAGTGGATACAGAATGAACCTTTCTTTTATCTTTCAGTATACTGTCAGTCAAATCAGCAACTGAGAGCCCAACAGACCAAGATCTCTGACCTTTTCCCTTTAGAACTTCCATAGCTCTATATAAACCAGGAAAAGGAGAAAAACATGATGTTTAGATTTTAATTATTCCTATTTTGGTTTATATGTAAAACCCAAAAGACAGATTAAGTGTACCATATCAGGTAAAGTGTACTATAAAAACATGATTCTCTGTTTTGGAAAACAACAGAAGGGAATAAGAATTGCTTTAAAGAATTTCTTTATGTATATTTTACGCACACTAGTAACAATTCTCTTTTCTGTCAGGAGGTGTAACTGATATGTGGCTAATTAAATCAGGTAAACTGATCCAAACATGTACTTTGCTTTCAAGTAAACTGCTTCCACACAAGCTCTGAGAAAAGTGTGCCAGAAGGCTTGTCTACTATTTTTTTTTTTAAACACACAATCGAACTGGCAGCTCTAATATTCTAGTGTATATTCTACAAAGCTTGTCTTGTCCTTGGATCGTCACAGGCACAGCATTATTGAGAACTTCAGAAGAACAGTGGGCATATACACATATATGAAAGTGAATGACACTCAGACCTACAATTTCATATAAACTCAATGTGTAAGCATTTTAGAACAAACTTCCTCCTCTTCATAAAGAGCTGAAGGCAAAAATTCTGCAAACATCAAGTGCCTAAACACGAAGAAAAAAAATTTAAGATTATAATGGCGTTACCTGTTAGCCACCTTCTCCCTTGAGTTATGAGCAGCCATTGCTTCCATTTGATTTGCAACTAAATTACAACTGGTCCATGACGGCACTAAATAGAAACAACCAACATTTAAATGCACATCTAAACAGTGAATAACACAGGTATCAGATAAGGTGGGGGGGGTGGGGGGTGGGGTGTGGAAATTTCAAGCTTTCCAAACTTTCCTTCCCCCACAACAACCCAAATGTAGTTGATGACCTTCTAAGGTTCCCTGGACTGCTGAAATAAACTCTCTAGTAGCACCTGGCCAGAGACCCTTACTTAAAAATGAAGTAATATGTAACAATTCTTACATTAGCAGTAACCTACCATATATTATACCACATTTCCTTCCTCTTTCTGTACCTCTAACCTATGTTGTTATACCAAATAAAAAGCATTTGGGGTTTTCTTTTTTTTTTTTTTTTTTTTTTTCCCCCATGACAAGCGTCAAATACTTTTGCTACCACTCCAGGTCCACACTCTCAGGCACACACCAAAACTGTATTACTTAGAACCATTATTATGAAAATCTACCACCCTGATTATGACTACCTTCATTAATTTTCTCAATTATTCTTTCATTACTCAATTACTTAAGCACTGCCAGAACATTATATACTCATAGTCATAAAAAAGTATCACTTTACCTTTGTCTTCCCCTTGTTCACCAATAATCCAAGCATCTTTTGCCAGCACCTGTGCTTTCAAAAGGTTTGTCAGTATATACTGAAATCTCTCAGTATCTAGATTGGCACCTATTCCAATAACTCTGCTTTTGGGAAATGCACTCAGCTTCCACGACACATATGTCATTACTTCAACTAGATATGAAAGAAAAATATGTTGACAATGAAGGACCCCTCAAAATTCAACACAACTTCAAACTACAAATCACAATTACGAAAAACTCAGGACCAAGTTGTTTACTTTAGAAAAGGGATAAGCACGTAAGAACATATTAGTAGTTTTTTTTCAACCTGAAACACTGAGTCAGGTGGGGAGGAGATGAAGAAAATTCACAGCCCAAGTAAAGTTTTAAGAGAAGTCAAGTGAAACTTCAGAATGAGTCACTGTGCTTCCCTCTACCAAAAATCTCACATGCTTCTAATTTTAATTCAACCACTGTTTAATTTATTTTCGTTTGGCAAGCACTCTTTTCTCCATCTCCACAGCTCTAAATGATAGGAAGGGTAAGAAGCACTTGAGAAACAGAAAAGGGCTGTCTTCAGTGCGTTTACAGGACAGAGAGCTCGCACGTACTTTTCCTTTTAAGTAGTGTTTTTGCTTTGTCTTAGTTCACAGTATCACTGACCCAACAGATTTAAACTTTCCATCAAAACATAGCTGCAATATTTACTACACTACATTATGTATATTAGTAGTCTATGAGTCTGACCATATAGCACATAACACACATGCATTTATCCCTTCCTGCCCAGGAGAAACGTATACATAAAACTCACAACTGACAAGACAACAGCCAATGTATGCTAATCTTGCAGATACAGTCAGGTGAAAGCTACATACAGAAACATACAGAAATACATACCTTTTATACAAAACAAAGTATACTATTTTCTTTTATCTTGGTAACAGTAAAGAAAAAACCCTCAAAGACAGTGTCCTGCTCAAAGCTGAAAAGGAAAACATCTTTCAGAGTAGCAAAAGTTTTTGACTAAATGGGTGTTTTTGGCAATAATGTATTTTTAAAACAGGCCAAAGAGAAAGCCAGCTGAGGGACAGAACATTAGGTGAAGTACCAACATACCTGGATGAGAAGCAACAAGGAGAACAGTGTTCTGACTGTAGTGTGATATTGCTGGGATAATTCCTCTGAACAAATCCACATTGTTTTGTATGACATCAAGATAAGTCTGAGCATTACCCAGAGAATTAACTGTAAGTATCACAACTTTTGAATCAGCTGAAGCAGAAAAATCTGAAAATATATATATAAAAGAAATGTTTTTAAAATTCATGTCATTCTATCAAGTTTTGGATGCAAAACAAAGAGCTGTCCTAAAGGCTGAACTGCAGCATCCAGCTTAGTTAGGGATTCTTCCCTTCCTGTCTCCTCCCATAATCCCCAATGTGGAATTTGGGACACTTCCACAGCACCTGTAAAACACAGCTCTCCCACAGAACTACTTTTCCCCTTTCATAGTCAGCAACACAGAAGGCAGACTGCAATTTGTCCAACATTAAAGAGCAGAGACCAGAAAACATCTAGATGGGGCTGACAGATAAGCTTTTCCTAGTTCTCTTGGCAAGAGAGAAGAAAAAAAGATACATCCAGGAAAAGGCTCCTTCATTTTTATTCCAATTTTTAAAGAAGGGGAAAGACTTTTACTCCTTTATCTGAGGCTTCTATAATTTTTCATCTTACAGCTCAATCAAGGACACGTCGACAACCACAAAAAGTGTTCCAAAATTCTATTTATTAACTCAAGTAAAGGACATGTATTTATTAGCCCAAGAAAACACAAAACTATGTTTGCTGCAGAAATTCGTAAGAAAAAGCTGCCTTGAGCGGGTAGCTCTGAATATCTGAGTTCCATACAGATGATCAGCTTGGACACAGAAACAAGGTAATTTGACTGTCACACCACTTCTGGAACCAGCTGAAGCCAAAGCAGAGACCTATTGCACTGACAAATTGGAAGCATACTAAGGAGGATATAATTAATACCAGCTTGCCCCAAACCTAGATATAAGCACAGTAAAATAACAGGTGACAGCGTATTAGCATAGCCAGCAACAACATACAAGCTTTTTGTACCACAGCTAAATGTAAATATGTAATAGGTGCCACAAAGGCACAAACAGAGATTCGTGGTACAGTTGCACAACCAGGGTTCAGGAAAAAACGTGCTAGCAGTAAAACCTGCAAGATAAGATCAAAGGATGTAGAGCAGGCAATGTCAGGCGCAGAATAAGCAGATAAGATGCCTGGGGGAACCAGAACAAATCCCTGTCCCCGAAATAAGATAAATTACATCAGAAGCACAAGAAAACCCCCCATTTCATCTTGCAGAGGGCGCAAGGAATATAAAACCACCACAGACAAGCAAGGAAGAATGGGGAAGTTGCTCAATTCAGTTCCAGCTTCCCCTGTGGAAGAGCTTTCGAGCCACATCACCTCAACCTCTGCGACTAAGACCATCAAATACTGTAGCCATCACCACTAATTATGGAGACATGGCATTGACTCTGTTGAATTGTACACTCACAGCTAATTGAGGACAAGATTGTTCAGAACTAATTGTTTGAATATGCAGTGATAATGATTAAGAACTAAGTATTGGCCACGTGCATGTTTAATGAACATCAACCTAGGAAAGTAGTACTTTGAAACTTACCTTTACTTATCAGCCTTTTTAACACTGCTTTCACAGCTATATCTAATTCCCTAACATACATATATTTTTTCCCCCCTCTTCCTTCCCTCTCTCCACCTATGACACTGAAGTACTAGCTTGGTTTCTCTCTATTTCTGTGCGAGTCCAATTTCAGCATTAGTCTCTTACCCTGGAGGTACATACCTCTGCCTCTATAAACAGAATGAAAAAAGCCTGAAATAAAAACGATGCAAGCTTTGCTGAACATTCCCTTCCCAATTTTGCCCTGAAAAGATGAAGAAAAGCAAGAAGCTATGAAAAGATAACATCTTTTAAAAATATGGCCTATATGCCAGAGCTTCTGTATCTCCCCAGGTGTCCTGCTCTCATTAAAATGAGCACACGCACACACAGTACTCGCACCCATTCCAGCAACAACATCTAATACCTTTGCTGATCTCCACATTTGGCAGAGCAAAGATCTCCAAGTCCATGGTCCCTCCTTTTGCTGCACCTTCAGAAAGATCCAAAAGAACCACCTTGTCTGCAGCACCCTGTATGAATAAAAATAATGCAGATCAACAATAAAACAAACCAACTTGTTCTTGTGGGGGTGAGGAATAAAAACCAGTATTCCTCCAATTCCAGCATTTGTTGTACTGTGTATAAAACAAACAAAATTACTCACCAAAATTACTGTCAAATCACAAGAAAATTTATTTTAGGGAGTTCAATAGGAAAATGACTCATTATGAAACAAATAAATAAAAAACTCACAAAACCATCTCTGGGAAGTTATAAATGTTGATATTACTGTTGCCTCTCAGCATATAGCTGTAATGAAGTACAGACCATCTACAGACTCTGCTTTTCCAGGGGACTAGGAGATCCCAATTGTAAGAGGCCACTGCTCAGGCAAGAATCCTTTAACTAAGGATTTTCAAAATAAGTGAATTCAACATACAACCCTTTGTATTTAAAAAGCTGAGAAAACAAGGCAGAAACTGACACTTCTGTGTGTCCATAACTTAACTGAAGAGGCAAATGACAGTGACATGGCTATTAAAGCTGCTGAGTTATTTGTATGTGTCAGACACTAAGAACTAGGTTGGAAACCTCTCTATTAATCAGGTCTGTTGCCATTTATAATAATTATGTACCTTTGCTGCAACTGCTAGTGCACACGCAATGCCAAGATCTCCAGCTCCAACAACAGTGATTTTATTAAAACATCCTTCGTTTTTGCCTCCACAAATTTTACTCTTTGATTTCATGTCAGTCTCTCCTACAATTAAAAGAAAACCACAAACTTAAGTGCTGGTCCACACTGTATCAATACAAGTATTGCTGCTTCATAAAGGATCACGGCTGTGCCAGAGTTAAACCAGATTACATAAACTTCTTCAAAATACCGGTCAAGCCTGACCACAGAAGAGTCATCACAACTTGCAAGGTGTTAAACACAAATACTCCTCTCTGGATAGGAATGTTTTTTCACTAAGTAGAAAATATGAGTGTAACAATATCAAGAAGCGACACACTAAGACCATACAAACAATACTCCCTTTGCTCCTGTTACAGATGTGAATATACACCATGGTCATAAAATTTGTAAAACATTCCGTGTTTTGAGAAGACATGCAAAATGGAATTTGATTAAAGTACAATGATCTGAGGTTGTTTAGCTAATGCTACAGGTAACATAATGATTCTCATTCCGAGTATAATGCAGAAAGGTTTGTAACAGAAACATTAAGATTGATTGACTAGAAATGTGTATGGTGCACAAACACACGTGTGTGCTCACAAGCATGTACGTGTACACAATTACCAGAAGAAACAGCCGAAAAGAGATAAAGGGAAAGGTCTGCACCAATTGCCATAGATCACCATTACCAGAAGAAACAGCAAAAAAGGGTTAAAGGGAAAGATTTGCACCATCTGTGATTTCACTAAAAGAAGGAAGAAGAAAAGACTGACCTGAAGAAAATGTGTCAGGATGAAGAACAACAGGATCGGAGCCATAAAATATCCAGATAAGGAAAACACGAGAACTGTGAAATTCAGGAATTTTGCCCAAGACTTACAATGGGTGAGATAAAGTAATGAGGCAAAAATGCCAAATAGCATCCACTCCCGAAGGGTGTAAAAGACAAGTCCAAAATCAGCTTGTCACCACTGAACAAGAAGAACCCAAGAGACATGATATGGGCTCAACAGCCAGCATTCCTTGTCCTCAGTGTTGCACAGCAGTGATTGTGGTCAGACGGGTCTCGGGGCTTGTGACTGTGGATGTGAGAGCGTGAGTGAATGAGATCTGAGAGAATGAATGACCGTGATTGGGCAAAATCAACTTGTTTATAATGAAATCGCATTTCCCTTCCACAAGATCTCACACAGAGTTTTGCTGCAGTAATTTCCAACAAATGAGTAATACCAAGTCTACAGCATTTTTCAGTAGGCTTAAATGCAAATATGCAAAATGAGCTACTTATTCAAATAAAGAGAATTTGAGCTCTTGGTTCAAAAAGAGGCACTTTTGATTATACAGAGAAAATACCAAACACTGTGGACACGCAAACACCAAGAATTCAGATATTAAAATTGTGCAGACATCTTTGTGATATCAAGTAATAACAATAAATAAAACAGATATTGTGTAGGAACATTACAAATACATGAAAACGTCCACACCTTCAGTAATCTTTGCAATGTAGGAGAGAAGTTCCGATTGCCTGGCTGCATCAGAAGATGACAGTGAATACAAAGGGAGCTCTTCCTCAAATTTTGCAATCATTTCCTTGATTAATCCAATGACAGTTGATTTAGGCTGAAATATAGCAATACAGAAGACAAAACAGTTGACTAGCTATTTCATATAGTGGTACCAGCTGTAAACTGCAGTATTTCACAAATAACCACAGCTATACAAAATGTAATCAAATTATAAACATTGACACCCTTAACACTTACATAAACACTTAAGGTAAAGAAAAGCCTGGGAATTTCTGTATCAATAATGAAACACATATCTCATCCATTTCAGAAAACTAGCATTCATTAAATCATTTTTACTGGCCCAGCAGTCAAATTTAAGTAAGTTATTTAATACAGTGCATAAAATCATTCAGCAAGAGCATTGGCTTTTGAATCTCTATGTTAATGTTTCAGAGTTCTGCTGAAAGAGACAGGAACTCAGGAAGTAGGAACTTCCATTGAACTTTCTTGAGGGACACTCAATTGGTCTAGTATTACTATTCATTATTCATAGCAACAAAGGAAAAAGTATCAAAGGGTCCACATGAGTCTTATACTGCTTTATAACAAAGTCAGTCCCTTTTTTCTTCAGCTTAAAATAATTTTCCTTACAATCACTTATAACTTCCTTTATAGTCGCTTCAGACAGTCCAAAGCTGTAATTTGAAGAGACATAACATTCTGCTTCTCTTTGCATAATCATTACATATTTAAGATTAACAAAGATGCAGAAAACAGAAAGGCCCGAACCCTACCCACTCCTCTCCATTGATCTCCGTATGATACCATGCTTTATTCCCAAATACTTTCCTCCCCTGTCAGCCACTCCACCTCTTACATGGCTCCAGTTTTGCAGGTAGGGCAAATAAATCCTGCCATGAGCATCAACATGCTTTCCCACTGAAATGCCCATGTTCACAGTTGGCTTCAGGAAGCAAATGGGGGGAGCAAAGGGATGAGAATCCAGAATCCACAGATGAATAGGTATGTTATAGGAATTACCTGTTCAACGCAAAAACAAAAGCCACTGCTAACTTCTGCATTGAGAAGAGGCACTAAAAACCAGGCATATGTGCATGTGACTCACACTTCATAATAACAAAGAAAAAAGCCTGACAGATCACTTTCTAGATTCACACTGGAAAGTATTTATTTACACTAGTTAATAAAAGCAGACTTGTCTGGATCAACTTGAAGTGCTACCGATTCTGTCTTTCTTAATGTAAAGCTTTGTTGTTGTTTTGTTTCCCAGGGTATTCTATCAGCCAGTGTGTCCCCTTTTCCAGGCAAAGAAATCTCTTACAGCTACCCATTTCGTATTTATTTTAGGACTCAACAACTGATGCAAAGAGGCATCTATCAAGAGCTTTACCTCAGACTTCAAAGGCTTTAAGTTAAAAATAAAAAATTACCTACTAGTTATTTTTGGACACTGCCTATACAAGCATAGGGCTTGTAGAGTTCATGCAATCTCCATTAGAATCAAAGAGTTTGCCTACACAGTCTCAAACCACATGATTTTTTTTTTTTAATAGTTAACTGACTTATCTAATACCACCTTATTTCAGCACCTATGAGTGCATGAAGGCAGTTGTTTATGCAGTAGAAGTGGCTTCTGCCAATTCCTGCAAAATCCTTTATAGCCACCTTCAAAGAAGCTGCACAGTATATTGTTAAGAGGCAGTACCCAACACATTTTACAATTAAATTCATAACTGGTAAGGAAATTATATTTGACTTATCTTACCATATTTCACTGGAACAGTACCACTAAAATTCAGGAGGTCCTTCTGGGATCCATCCTTGAAGGCTGTATTAAAAATGTGATTTTAAAAAATAACAATAATAAATTCTTTTGAATCTGGCATGGCAATCCCATCCACAACTACCAATATATAACGCTTATTTTTCTTTAGAAATCAAACACACTGCTCCTGAAAGAACCAAGGCCAAAATGTTACCAAGGTCCTCCCTCCCCCTTTGAGATAATTCCTTAATGGAATCTTAATAAAAATTGCATTGGTACAACTAAGCACATCATTAGTCTGAAAATATGTTGTCCTGGGTAATTCTGGTGTTGTAGGAACTTTCAGTCAGGCTGGAGGATTCTGGCAGTTACACTTGATAAGCTAAAGACATCAAAATGCTTTCAATACAGTCATGGTATATGGGAAAAATGCTGTTACATATGAAGAATTTCAAAGAACATCAATCTTCTATAATTACAGACAAGTTAAACCAAAATTTAGTGAATGAGTCACTTAGGTCTTTATATGTATGCATTCTTGGAAGAGCTGTCAAAAACAGTCACATGGCATGAGAAATTTTACTGCAAGTCAAAATAAAGATAGGAACACAACTGAAAAATATTCACACTATTTAGATTCTATTATACACAGTGTAAATCTATGGCCAGCAAGAATCACAATTAGTTCAAAGTAACTGTATCACTTCTTACTGTATGTGTTCATGGAGAACGTGAAGTTTGGGTAGGTCTTGTTAACATTCTTTAGTTCTTCTATGGTCAGGTCTCTGAACTTATACTGGGAAGGGAGGAGGAAAAAAAAAAAATCAGAAAAAAATGAAACATTTCAAAGGCTGCTTCTTTAGTTACCAGAGATAGGGAAAAGGAACTAAGAGAAAGTAGAAACACAAGAAGGAGGGGGTAATAATTACTGGTAGTATTATAACTAGTTTTGGTGCAAAATAAATTATCAAAAAATTTGATACAAAAAAAAGTTTTAAATGTATCGCAGGTCTGCTATTGCTATGTTAGAACTCAAATTCTGAACATCACTCCTTATATACCATTCCTTCCTCTTTACAGCTGTGTGAGTAGAGGTTTAATAAAATTTAGTCTCCTCTGCACAAAACAGCTAAAATCAATATAAAAATATAAACCTCTCAGAACAAAGAAGTCATCTTAGTACTGACAGTTACTACTAAAAACTCAGATCCACCTGCACACATTTTAGAAGAGTTTCATAAGATGTCGATTTCCACAAACATGTTTAAGCTGTCCTTGAGAGCTGAGAAAATTCAAACAGAATAATGCATCCCTCTTTCCCACCTGCAAAAAACCTGCCCACAGATTAACAAAGTACTGATGCTTGAAATGTGATCTGAAAGTAATTATCAGCAAGCATGAATCACTGCTGCTTCATTTAGACTGTCCCCAGACAGTCGGATACTTGAACTTCCAAGAGATTTGCATCCTCCCACATCTTAAAGTTAAGAAGAATATTTTCCGTTTCCTAGATTAGAGCATCTGCTTCTCATTTTAGGAAGTCTGGAGCTGTCCGGGAACCCTCGCCCTAAGCAAACACAACTGCGGCCTGACAAAGGCTTAAAGAGCTGCTCACTGCATTGGAATACTTGTCACGAAGTAGTAGCTAAAATCTACAATCTCTTCAGTAAGGCACCCACCTTAGAAAGAAGCAATACTACATCTATGTGGATGGTACAACTATTTTCCACTTTGTACAAGAAAACAAAAAGCTGCTGAAAAGAAACATCTTTTAGTCAGCTTCTCCACATTCAACCTTACAGGATACTGCAAAGTCAGGCAATTAAAAAAAAAAAAAAAAAAATCAAAGGTGCTCAAATTAGGAATGTCTACACAACTTAAATTTAACACATTTTCAGAAGTGTTGATACATCTGGTTGTGAAATCAAAGCCATCTTTCCCCAGCTGACCCTATTCTTATTCGTAACGCAAGATGAGACATTCCTATTAAATATTTTGATCTTTTCTAAAGACCACAAGATTTATGAGGTGAGTCAGATACAGACCTTTCTCATTTTGCACCTAAAATTATTTGGCGTGCCCAAAATTTAAATACGCATACCTCAGTTTCTCATATGGAAATTAAAACTTTACCTCTGAGGGATGCTATAAAAATAAATCAGTGTTTCTAAACCGTAGAAATACTAATGCAGGGATTGTCACAAAAAATCCCCAAGGAAATTAGTAACTCCTCACGCAGAATAAGGTTTCAGTTGCATGCAGCACACCACACGTGTTACTGTGTCCTGAACCACAGAAATAAAATTATGCGTGGCGCAACTTTAAACTCAGTTGCAGTAAAGCAATGTAAATCCTGCACCCCGAACGGGACAGAAGTCTTTCACAAGCGACGATCACGAAATTAAAGGCGGCACCGCGCTGCCCGCAGGGAACGGGAGGGTGGCTGAACTGCCCAACTCCCTCAGCTCTGCCCTTCC